ATTCAGGCGGTAATTCTCTGTAGGTTCATCACTACGAGTGACGTCTTTCACGTTGTCTTCATATTGTCACTGTAAAAATATTCATTATAGCCATTTTAAGTTTAAAGCTTAACACACAAAACTACAGATTTACACTAAAGTTGTAAGACTATGTTGCTGGTGTTGGTAGAGGAAAAGTCAGAGGATCTCCAAAGTCATTACAGTTCATCCTCTGGGGACCATTAGTATGAAAATGAATCCATCCAATAGGTGCTCTTTATTTTTCAGGTATTTGGTGACAAGTAGAATAAACAAATAAGAGCAAAACATATTCCAGAACTTTTTATATCGTTATATTGTCTTACAGTCTTCATGCTATACTATTAAAATAAAGTAAATCTTCTACATGAAGGGGCTATAAATGCACGATTTGATTTCCTAACACTGGTTGTATGTATATCAGTGTCCTTCTAGTTACTGTAGGTAGCTTGCATCACGCTCTATTGCCAGAGAATAAATGCCAGTAACACTGCTGTACACACTCTGGGTTAGTCTGGATGTGTGTGTTTGTGCTTGTGACGGGTCATCGATCAGTAATGGACTGTGATCTTGGTGACAGTCATATTGATTTGTGCAACGTGACGCCTACGCTGTGAGAGCCCTTGCAACGTCAATAAAAATGTGTGCAGTCAGTGGGTGCGATACATTTCATGTGGCTCAAAAGAGGAAGCAAATCCACAACTTTGGTGTTTTCAGTCTCACATTAAGCTGCGATGGAGTACTGGAAGTGATAGTAAACAGCTCATTAACTGCATCTGAAAATTGTTTCTAAAAGGGTTTATCTAGAATATAATGGAAATACAAAAATGTTATAGTTTTCCTGTGTTCTCACAGGGGAGATTAACTCAATCAATGGAAATGAACATTTGGTTTGAATTACTTTTAAACTGTTTTTTCCCCACACAGTTAATGTCAATTCTATGTGTGTGTGTCTGTGTGTGTACACTCAGTAGTTTAGATTCAGATACTAAAAACGATCCTTTCCTTAGGGTTTGGTTTCAAGCCAAACTTTTTCAAACCAGGCAATATAAAATGTTAATATGTAGTTAATTAGTTTGCACTAGAACTAGGAATAAAAACAACAACAACCTGGGATTATGAACTGATCACGCACTGAGGGAGTCACTTCTCACCAAACCATAAGACATGATGTGTTAAAAGCATGTCGACACTAACATAGCAGATAATGATTCCTGAGACACGTGGTTAACACGGTTTACACTGTGACTCCTAATCTATAGGGTTTGACCCAGATCTAAACACTGCTCATCACCCAGAGTGACCCTTTCATCTGTTCTAAAAGGGGAAACATATCCAGTGGCAGTCCATGGATTCTTACAATAAAGTTGTTTTTTGGTACTTACACTGAATTTAGGAATATAAAACTCTTCTTTTTTTTTTGGTCTAAATGCTACAAGTACTGTTCAGTCAGGTCCCCATTGGGTCTACCATGTTGACTGAACTCTTCACTGGGCATCATTATAATAATTCATTTCCTGTAGCGAGGTGTTGGTCGCTGGCCAGCTGCCTGCTCTACTTATAGGCTGACAAACCGAATGATTGATTGGCTGTCCGGCTCATTGACAGACAGAATGACACACCTTCAGGCCGGTTGGTGAAGCTGAATAGTTGGCTAACAGGGTGACCAGCTGGTTGCCTGTTTTCCTGGTTGCTATTTGAAGTCATGCTGGCTCGCTGACAGACTGGCATAATGATCCTGATGAATGTCATGCTGCTGTTTGGACTTCTGACTGCATGACCGACTCCTGATCCATCTACAGTTCTGGGGTCTGACGGTGTCATGTTGTAGTACCTTAATTTGACCACTAGAGTGTACCAGTGTGCATCTTTACCATCAAGCACTCCTCTAGCACTTGAAGAGACACTGTCTATCCTTTTAGAGATTCATTATTTCATTCATTAATTAAATAAGTAAACACTTGTATGTATTTCATATGAATTGTTTGGATCACTAAACTATTGACATGTATGTGTGTATACTGTATACTATGCTGTCATCCACTTTGAGAGTTGAAAGCCGTTGCAACCCGAGACCACACGCACGTATACGCACACAGAGCATTATTGTCTCCTAAAAGGTCTCTCATGAGGACAGAGCAACTTGATGTTTTCAAGTCAAAGACAGAGTGGGAATGAAAGGGAAAGAGCAAAAGAGTCTTTTAGAGAAGGTTCAGTCAAAGAAGAGTTGTGTTCACTCTGAACCACAGAAGATCAACTCTAGACTAGTCTTTCTTTCTCTCTTGTTTCTCTGTTTCTCTCTTTCATTCTCTCTTCCTTTCTTCCTTTGACAATCTGTCTATTTATTATCAAAGAATATGGAGAATATGGTGTATTATGCTGCCACCTATTGTACCAGAAGGTGTTATGTTCATTATAATAAATACAGTTGAATTTTAAATGATCCATTTAGCAAAATCTTTCTATTCACAAAAAAACATCTTTAGGCTTTATTTATCGAGAGTCTAACCCTCAATTCAACTAATCTGTGTTGTCTAGACTCTGTGGGTGGTTTGATCACATTGACAATGCCGGATTATTTTAATGATGCTAAACTCTAACTTGTTCACACGAATACTTGACATCACATTTTTCTCCACTTTAAATCAGTGAGCTGTTTGTTCAAGTTTTCTGCCTCTGCCTGTCTTTTAATCTGGCCATATTTCCCAACATTAAACCAAGTTTAGCCACATCAGCCCCACTGTATCACATGTGTTTGCTTGCCTGTCAAAGTGATAATGTAAGTAGCTGAACAGGGCATTTATTTAACAGTATAAACTGCCACACAAGTATTTGTGCATTTATTTTTAAAATGTAACAATGTGGAAAGCCAAAAATAAATATTTTACTCCTTTGTAATAAATGCACCCTGTATCAGCTCAAAGAGATTTGTCTACTTCCTTTCATTACGGGAAACCAGCTTATCAGACAATAAGCAAAATTTAGACATCAAACAAGATTGTAAATGAGACTTTCCACCAGGAGAGAAATCGGTCTACGGTCAAACAAGAGAGGGGATATCTTTATACGATTGTTCTCCACAGACACTTCCTTCCCTGCATACATCCATACTGATATCTACGCACTTGTAGTACATCAATGGCCTGATTGCACTAAACAATGCAACCTCACTGCACTTTTGACCTTTCCACTGGGTATGACACAGAGCACCTGTACTGTCTGTGCATATGTGTGTGTGTGTGTGTGTGTGTGTGTGTGTGTGTGTGTGTGTGTGTTTTTTATCCACTGTTGAAATGCAAACACACCTGGGGTACCAGAGCTGACAGCGACACTTTCACACATATTATATAATACGTGAGATACAGTAGCTCCATTTGCAGTCAGCACACACACTCTGTTGACACTTGAACACAACCTAATTTGAGTAGTGTGTTTGTGAATGTGTGTGTGTGTGTGTGTGTGTGTGTGTGTGTGTGTGGTTGGCTCCCACATGCGCGACCAGCTCGCGTGGGAAGAACTGAGTTTGCTTTTCAGACTAAGGTGTCAGCATCCAAACATATGAGCTAATAGATGTTAGAAAGGAGTGATGGATGAGGAAGAGAGAGGAATGGATGGTTGGGGGAGGGATGGAGAAGAGATAAATAGTAAAAGAGAGAAAAAAAAGAAAAATGAGGAAGCACTATCTCAGTAGTAAGAACTGCTTTACACTGTAAATACTATTAAACCAACGATTATATGCGATTTTGATGAAACTCACTTCTGCAATATGGTGTCAAAATAAAACCAAGACCAAGTAGTTTAGCTTTTCTTTGTTATTAAGACTTCTTGTCTTAATAACCATGTGGGGGTTCAGAATGTCATTATTTAAAAGGGAAATGTTCAATTTAGCTAAATTCTTTTGGATTGGTTGTCTGTCTGTTTAAAGTAAGTCAGATTCCTCATATTAGTGGCTGTTTAATGCTGTTGTTTCAACACAAAATGCACAAACTTCAGGCTGAAAGCCAGAATAATATAACCAAATCATAATTTAAATCAGGCAATATTTGATCCGACCAAGCATTTGGGGCCAACTTCCAGCATTTGACAGTATGTCATACTCAGTGTTATGTGGTTTATATTCAAAAAGCATTTAGATTTGATAACTGGCCATAGAATTTATACAGGAAGAGTATAATAAGGGAGGCAAAGACATAGACAGAAAGAGTAGAAACATGGCCAGTAAAGCATATCATCCGTCAGTCAGATTAAATTGTGATAACTGAATGATCACCTTTCAGTCGTCACCACTCTCTGGCTGAGGTTAGCTGGGACTCAGGTGGTGTGTGTGTGAATATGATTTACAGCAGTGTGACAACCAAAGCACAGTGCCAAACATATGATTTAGAGGTGTATCATTCTTGTAGCCCAGGGCCAATTGGATTAACTTGTCCCATGAGTGATGTTTACATGGAAGCCCACGACTGAATAATACAGTTTTTGTCAAAGTACAGTTGCTGATGGTGATGGATTCAATCAATTAACTGAGATTTTCACTAAATCTTTTACACTTGAGGCATTTAATTAAATTAATTTAACCTACCAAAATGTAGGAATTAAGTGTTTATGCACCTTATGACTGTGTTGCGCATTAAAAGGTTGCTTGTGTGTGTATCTTAGTAGTACAACCAGTTGCAGAGATACTGTAAATTCCCTTTAAATGTGTGCAAATAATTTAATGTTTTATGTGTATGTGCATCATTGGAGTGATAGGAAAAACAGTCCATGTCTGTAGAACTTAAATCTGTCTTTCTGTATACGGTCACACAGGCAAAATATCTACAACAATTCCCATGTTTCTAATGAAAAGAATAAATCCATAAAACCAGGATTTAACACACCACAATCCAGGTCTTATTTGCAGTTACAATATTAATAGTGGCAGCAGCAGCTGTGCCAGTTTTGTAGATATTCTGTAAATAAACAAGCACATTTGTTGTTCCTACCTTAACATAGTCCACTGTGGCGTCCAGGCCGGCAGCAGGCTCCCTGGGGAACACAGACAGAGACATGGTCCTATTTAGTGAACACATCTTATTACTGGATCCAAACTGCTCGACGCTGATCTTCAATTCCTCCCTATAGTTCCTATTACGCATAAACTGCTGAGCTGGTTGGGTTAGGTCCAGGTGGGTCCCTGACTGGTGCTGATGCTGTTTTCTTTAAAGATTCAAACACTGCTCAGCTCTTTTAGGAGAGGATACAGTTCAGTGGAGGTGTGGAAAGGTTCAAACGGATGTCACTGGTCCAAACAGGGATCCGTGTATATGCCATATGCTAGGCCTAGAAGGTACAGCTGCACTGTAAAGGTGGCATACAGAGTTAACTGTTAGGGTAAGACTGTCCCAAGTTCACTTTGCAAGTGAGTTCCTCTGAAAGAAAAAAGTCGAGTGAAACCAAACCTCACACTGAACTGCTTAAAATCTGTCTCTGTCTCTGTCTCTGTCCCATTTGCTGCCTGTTTCTCACTCTTTCTTTCTCTCAGTCAGTGGTAAACATGTTCACTCACTGCCTGCCTGACTTGGCCTCCCTCCCTAAACCCTCTCTCTCTCTCTCTCTCTCTCTCTCTCTCTCTCTCTCTCTCTCTCTCTCTCTCTCTCTCTCTCTCTCTCCTCCCCCACCATAACACACATCGCGGCCACACGCCTACCCTTCGGAGTCCACTGACAAATTCACAGAGAGGTTAGAGCACACACATACAAACAGCACCAGCGGGATTTTCTTTGATTTCTTCATCAACCCAAACAACAACCACATCAGACAGTTTGCCATCTTCTTTCTGTGCGTCGCTGACTCTCTGTAGCCACTTTTTCATTTGCTTTTCTTAGACACTCTTGTTTAAAGTTCAGAATACAGAAAACTTAGGTTCAGGAATTGTATTTGGGGATTTTGTTTGTTTTGGACAGAAGTATAAGGTCCTCATATTGTGTTCCTTACTGAACATGAACTTATTGTTTCCATTGCTCTCTGTCTTTGCCTCGAATATTGGTACTTGAGTGTATTAATGTAGCTCAGAGTCTCTCTCCACAGGAGGCTTACAGCCAGGGGCTCAGTGAAAGAGGTAATTAGCTCAAATCCCAGACTACGTTAGCACGGTTGGTAGTTTAAATCCCTTAAGCCTAGAGTGGTGTTCCCACGGGAATATTAGCACAGTCCATTACTTACCAAACTAAATATGTTTAGCTGTAAGCCCTCTCAGTTTAATATGGCCCCAAATAATGAGTGGGATTTAGTTATGTAACTGAACAGAAGCCTCCATTCACAACAATGTATAGTCATTATTCATAGAAGGTGGAGTGCTCACAGGCTCTCCATCAACCTCAGAGCCTAGAAAGCTCAGTATATTGCAACCAATCCAGTTTCAGGTCTACAGATGCCTAATCCAGCATATCTACATGGTCTATGGTCTACAGTGAGTTGTCCTCACAACAGAGGGCACATCAGTTGTTGGCTGAACAACTGTGTCTGATGGTGCCAGGAGCACTGCACAATTGCTGACCATCAAGGGTGAGTATTTCATGCTTTATAATATTATTTATATCCCGGAGAGTTTTGTCAATCAACTATAGAAAGTTCATTAACTATACAATGGAGTTTTTCTTCTGAGAACATTTAGAAATGTCTTCTATCTGTTGCTGTACTTGCAAATACACTGTGATCAATCCATTATTTGAGTAGTAACTAACAATCATTTTATTGTAAATTCATCTGTCCACAGCTTTTAATTGATTAATCGTTTAGTTTATAAAATATTAGAAAACACATCATCATCATCATCAACCTTACAGTGATCAGTGACCGGTGGTCATAGTTTAGCTTCACTGCCGTGGATGAAGAAAACGGAAGATGAAGAGGAGGATGAGGAAGAAGAACACAGGATGTTTTTGCAGTCTCAAATGTAAACTAAAATCAGACATTCAGTTTGACGTTGACCCCTTTCTGTAGCCGTATATCTTGCTTCGTTGGAGTCAGTGGTTGGCTGGACTTCAGATTGGCCCCAAAACCTTCACCACACCAACCACCTGCCCCTCGTAACCCTGCCCTGGCTCTCTAGTCTGAGGTAGGAACGATGAGAATCACCACATACCAGACAACACCCATATAAACCCTCCTGGAGTTGAATGTGCTACAACTGAGGGAAATTCCCTTTTCCACTCAGGGAGGTCAAAGGTCAGTCTCAAGCAGCAGCCCCGGAGCTGATAGAAAGTCAGTGTCTTAAACTCAGGTCGTCAGGTGAAGGATGGTCTCTCCATCCTGCATCTGGGTGGATGATTTCTATTCCTCCCTGATAAGGTTTAGAAAGCCTGACAACAGCACCAAAAGAGCTGAAACAAAGTGTGGTCAGCGTGAGATGGCCAGGCATTCCAGACTACACAAGCTGACCGCAGCTAACTTGGCCTTTTTCTGTCCATATTGCTGAAACAGCATCAGACACTGGGTTTTTCTGCTTCTACAACCACAAAAACTGACCTGCAACACAGACAAGAGACGGAGCACGGAAGACAGAAAGAGTGGAAGCGGGTGAAAGGGAAAAAAAATAGAGTAGGGAGGGCAGAAGCAGGCGAGCACTCGCCACAGTCTTTTTCTGGCTACCGTTGTTCTTTGCGCTTCACCACACAATACTCAGCGCGACCACAACTGGCTTCAGTGAGGGACTAAACCATATTTGTGTGTGTGGGAGAGAGTAAGAGAGAGGGAGAGAGAGAGAGAGAGAGAGAGAGAGAGAGAGAGAGAGAGTGACAGTGGGAGCAAGGGAGAGAGTTCATGAGCAGCATGCAGGGTCTGATGGCAGCCTACAGAGGTCAGTGTGTTTTCATGATACAGCTCCACAGACAGTCAGTATTTGCTGTTAATAGCTGTGTTTCTGATCCATGCTATGAAGTATTTCAATGCCATCCACTAATCTTCATAGAATACTGTTCCAGCAGTTGGTATGCAATAAATTAAATAAATATAAGAAATGTTGATGACAAATCTGGTACAGATAACAGGCTGGTTTCCAATTCAAGACGAACACGTCTTTCCAGTGCTTATCTCCTTGGCATTTTTAAATATTTTATTACACCACAAATAGAAATGTGTTCTCCCATGTTGCTTTAAATGGAAAATTTTGCTTTTTTTAAACCTGGAGGTGAGTCTCTGTGGAGCCCTTCATCTCACATCCTCCCTTTTAGTTGGAGCACTAAAGCATCCCTCTATCACAACCTGCTCTTTCTCTCCTTCAGTTTGTCAGGGGTTATACCAGGGCAATAAATCCTCAGGTATGAACATGGTTTGGATTTTTTAGCTCATTAATGTGCCATCTTTTGCAATTTAAAAGTCAATATAGTGTAAAAACAGTTGAAACTACCCTTTTAAGTAATTGGCTTAAGCCAGTGGTTCTCAACCTGGGGGATAGGACCCCCTCTAGGGGTCGCCAAAGCATCGTGGGGGGTTGCAAGGCCTTCTTTATTTTAAGGTGTGTAAGAAAAAGGTATGAAACTATACACAATAGGCCTATATATCAGAATTTTATGATTATATGAATTTATTTGAAGAAAACTAAATGAAATTGTTATTTTTAAACTTTGACGACCTGAACTTTTTTCACTCTCTGATAAACAGCTTCGTCCTGCATTAGAAAAGTACATAGTTAAAACAACCTTTTAAGAGATTTGTATCAAACATTCCCCAAAAATATCAGGAAAAATCATTTCTATATTCAATATTCACAGGAAATAAACAACCAAATCGCGCATTTTACATAAACTCCATAGAATATGTCACTTAGTCAGGGGTAGTAATGATAGAAAAGAGCTCCTTTAAAGAAAACTGTTGGGAATCACTGGTTTAAGCTTTTTATTTGATCTAAAATAACAGAGGAAGTTAATCAAAACATAATCAACAGATAAATTGGCAATTCATAAGGGTTTTAACGTCAGCTAATCTATGCTGATGAAAGGAAAAGTTGCATGTGTCAACAATCCATCACTGTCTGTAGCTCCTCAGCACTCCCTCTCATCTCTCTCCTTGCCCTTTTCCTTTCCACTCTTTCTTTCTGCTCTCCCCCCTCCTCCTCTCCTGGTGGTCTGCTGAGCTGCCCAGGGAGGTCAACAGAAAGACAAACCGACCAATCAGGAGCTAGTGCAACATAAGGTCAGGAGTCATAGGTCAGCAAACAGCATGAGCGATTGGAAAGTCAAGACCAACTGGCCAGTGGTTACATTCCTTAGAGATATATGCTCCTTAATCTTTTTATAGAAAACTCAACCGTGTTGCTTGCAATCTTTTAAATCAACCTTACTTAGAAACATGGGGGAAACATTTTCTGAGACTTTACTCTCCAGGTTAGTCCAAGTAAATGTATGTGTATGAAGAGATACCCTGTACCTCATACCAACTGTCACTCACATATAAGAGTCTCCTTTGTGGTTTTGAGGCCATTAGTAGGTAAATTCAATTATTACTTAGTGCTGTTCTTTGATCTCCAGACAGCTTTAGGTATGACCAATATGCTTATTCTACTCTTATAAGTACCTGGGTGTTCACCCGAACAATAAACTGGACTGGACTCATAACATTCATGCACTTTATAAGAAAGGCCAGAGCAGACTCTATCTGCTCCGGAAACTCAGGTCCTTTGGAGTGCAGGGAGAGCTCCTGAGGTCCTTCTTTGATACTGTTGTGGCATCAGCCATTTTCTTTGGAGTGGTCTGCTGGAGCAGCAGCATCTCAGCAGTCGATAGGAAGAGACTCGACAAACTGATTAAGAAGGCCAGCTCTGTCCTGGGTTGCCCCCTCGACTCAGTGCAGGTGGTGGGAGAGAGAAGGATAATAGCAAAGCTATCATCACTGATGGACAATGTCTCCCACCCCATGCAGGACACCATCAGTACACTGAGCAGCTCCTTCAGCGACAGACTCCTTCACCCCAAATGTGTGAAGGAGAGATATTGTAGGTCCTTCCTTCCTGCTGCTGTCAGACTGTTTAACAACCAGCACTGCTCCCAGTTTTGCTTGCTTTGACATTTCAAAAGTAAGAAGTAGAAGGACATAACACACATAAAATTGCACTAACTTCAATGAATGAATGAATGAATGAATGATTAAAAACAGAGTGAGGGTATGATGCTGTTCATTATTTAGCCACCTGCGCAGGTTGAATTTGACCTGGACAAATTGTCCTGCTGTATGTCAGCAGCGTCTGAAATGTATCCAGCATGGAGGCAGAAAGATAGAGAGAGTAGACAAAGAGTGCAAAGTAATCTGTGATCTGTCCTGCCACACCCTGACCTACAAAGGTAACCCACATGCTGGGGGCTACACGCACCCACAGACACACACACACAGACACACATGTGCACACACAGATCAGATACAGTCTGCGGTAACCCTACACTAGAGATAGAAAGATGGGAGGACACGATGAGGGATGAGGTGTGTGTGTGTTTGTCTGTCTGTGTGTGTGTGTGTGTGTGTGTTTGTCTGTCTGTGTGTGTGTGTGTGTGTGTGTTCCCTCTGAAGTTGAGCTAGCTCCTTCACCCCCTCAGGGCTCTTTGCAGACTCGCCTTTCTCCATCCAACTCCAAACTCTTTCTGGGTACTCACTCTGAAGAGGAATGGTTCGTATAAATAAAGCTTTTCCTCTAGAGCATGGCAAATCTCAGCTGATAAAAAGTGCCAACATAATGCTTAGGCTGACAATGTATTCCTTCAAAGATATACTCAACCAATATCTATCTATTGAGAATGAATACTTACTGCCTACAGGTTTGAAAAGTGGTTCTGCTTCTGAAGTTTGCTCCTTCACAAAAGACAGCAGCACGGATTCACAGCGATTACAACTGCTGGTTCCAGTGGTAGACCAGAGGCACAACAATACCAACAAATACCTTGTCAGAACATATCACGAAGTCCATAGGAACTTCTCCAACAAACTCCATACTGAGCATCCGGATCAACAGTGGAGAAGTGGATCTTGCTACAGGATAGGTTTGAGAAGTTTCTATGGGCATTTCCATGTTTTTTTGTTGTTATTTTGGCATGTTTGCCTTTATTGATATAGTGGGGGAGACAGACAGGAAACATGGGGAAACCCAAGAGATGACATGTAACAAAGGTCTCTGGCAGCATTGCAGTTACATGATATGCTTCTAGGCTACTACACCTCACATCACTTCACCCAATTTTGATGTATTTTTGACAGGTTTTTGCTATTTGCTGTGTCTCTGGGTCACTACTGGAGTCCAAAAATAACTGCTGTAAAATGCAAACTGACCTTAGCTGATGTTCCCACTAAATATTCTTTTGAGGCAGAGTTTTTGAATCTCAAAAGTGGAGTGTTTGGCAACATTGATTAGGGAACTGCTCTGTGATATAAAAAACATAATTTGCCATGAATGTTGAAGACAAAATCACAGACAAAAATTGTAAATGTCAAAATGCAGTTTTGTGTATTGTTTAAAATGAGAACATCAGCATAATTATGTGAGTTTGTGCACGTGTTTACCTGTAGCCATGAAAGTCATCAATGACGTTTTGGACCAGCGGAGATGTCATGGGTTGATGGATGGATCCAGGAGCCAGTGCCATGTTCCCGCTAAGAATCTGCTGCGTGTGATTGGCTCTGGGGTCCCAGGTGTAGTTTCCATGGGGGATGTTGACCCCTCCTCTCCTGCGTCGAGGCAGTGTTCCATGTATGGAGATTGGCTGGTAGGCAGCAGAGGGCCTCTCTGATAGGCTGCTGCCGTGCCCTGGAGGGAGACTGGGGGAACGAAACGGGAAAGAGGAGGAGAAAAATATTAAATTGAAGTAAGCTCAAACTAAATTAAAACACCCCAAACCTTTGTGAAGACTTTACTTTAAAAAAATCCCCTTCCAGATGCGACTGTAGCCTCCTAAACCCATTTGTTTTACTAGATTCCACATAAGTGGAAATGTTCCTTTCCACTCTCTGACAGCATCCCATGTATACCGTACTCTGTGTCAACTTGTTCCAACACTTCTTTGAAGCCCTTTGATGCTGCTTACTGTACACAGATATTTAGATGTTTATGTCTCCTCAACGTCTAATGCAAACATTTGATGTCTCATTTTATAGATATTGTCCTCTAATTCAGCCTTAACATATTTGGCATTTTTAGAAAATGTTGGGTTTTCCTTACAGTTTAAATTATGGTTTGTGGGTTTGAACAGGGTTTGTCCACACAGAATGCAGTTGTGATACTTAAACAATCTATTGTAGAAGCATCACCAAAGATTAGAGAAGCAGATGATTACTTCTGACCTTTTCTGTCATGGGAACCAAATTGTTTTGTAATTGCCTGCTTATTAACGTAACAAAATCTTCTAAAACCTGGATTGCCTTACAGAAAAGACAGGAAAGAAATGCCAGCATATTGTATATAGGCTTGCTTAACTAGCTATGTCAGTCAGACCCAAATCTGTGCCAGGATTCTTTGAATACCACCAACTGACCCAGGTCTGGAGCTGAGGAGGTCCATGGAGGAGGCGAGGGAAGCCTGGAGCCTCCTGGAGGAGCAGGTGCTGCTGCTGGGCACACCGAGGGAGGTGGAGGGGACTCCAGGGTGTGCAGTGCCTCCTCCTAGGGTGTGGTGTGCATGGAGGGACCTGGGCAGACTGGCAAAACGCCCCTCTGCCATCATCCTCAACTCTGGAAAGAAACAGAAACACAAAGTCAGACACAGAGGACCTGAAACTTATCTTTTACCAACACTTAAAAGCTTTGGATTTGAAGAGTTGATCTGGTCTTTCTACAGACAAATTACTTTATTAAGGTGAAAAATACATAAAGAAAAGTTAGTGATTAACCTCACAGGTAGGATTTCCTCCAGGTGTATAACCTAACACACTATAGCGGGACACAGTTATGTAACCACGGTAAAACAAGACATAAGGGTGAGGTGCAATACATTGCTGTAAAGACATATGATCTGAAACACACAAACACACACTGGCATACAGTCAGACACATGAGACACACATAAAGAGAGCCAGTACAATAATTCTATATAGTTCTATAATTAAATTCAAATCTTAGCTTTATCAAAAGTTTCAAGTTTAAACTAAAAACAACAAGACATTTTCTTTTATAATTGAAACAGTGAGGAGGACATGGTCATTTTATTTATTTTATTTCAAAGCGTTGGGGATTGCTTCAGATTCTTTATATTCACCATAAAACCAGCTTCTTCTCAGACCTTTCAAAAAGCAACTTTTTTAATTTGCTCATGCGGTAGATGTTGTCCAATGACAGACAGACAAGCAGATATAAATACACAGGAGATGGACAGGACAGATAGGTTGGTAGTGATGGAAAACACTGGACAGGTTCTTGATAAAATCCCCTGCCGTGTGATGATGACTGGACAGCCTGCTATATCTTCTGCTCTGAATCACTCAGCATGCAGCAGTTAGTCATACTGTACAAACTAAAATACCACGAGCTGACAGACATGTTTGGCAAACATGTTGGCAGACTGAATGGTACGAAACCCTCCCTACTTCTAATCTCATCAAACCTTAAAATCTGCCGGCTGTTATTGTGTCTCCCTTTGGAAAACCTGATTATGATCACAGAAAGTGCGAAGGAGACTGTGGGGCTCGACACTGTAAATAGTGTTGAAGAGGCAAGTGTTTTGAATCAAGGTGATCAACATGGCTGCTGGTGAATAATTAGATTTAAAAAACGGCTGAGAATCTACTGTCAAAGTTCTTATTGGTTAAAATGATGTCCTTAGTTGATGTTAAATTTAATTAGTGCTGCCAAGCATGATCAACATTTCTTAATAGCAGAGTGTGGAGAGTGGAAACAACTACCTGAACTGAAGAAATGAGCAAAGTGAACTGACTAAACTGTAATTATGTGGTAGAAAATGATTTTGCATAAAAAGGTGCAGCCACAAGTTAATAACAAGAGACTACCCACAACAAACAATACCTACAGCATTGAAAGGAATACTTATTTTGGGATGCTTGTTTGCTTTCTTGCTGTGAGTTAAATGAGAAGATCTCAGTAGATACACTGTCCACAATCTGATTAGCCTAGCTTAGCATAAAGACTGTTTAAATGTATGATATTCAACAAGCTGGCCACCAATGACACGAGAATAACAAGGATTTTGTTCAGAAGTGTGTAAACACAAACACCACTTACACTTGGTGGTCAGCCGCTGTGTATGCCAACTGCTCATTAATCCACAATGTATTTTTTTCCCTGTTTCTACTTGTTCAGTACAAACATATGATGTGTAAATAGGACCAACTTAGCATTGGTTAGAAGTCACCTTTCATAGAGCCAAGCTACTTGTTTCCTCTGCTTCCACTGTGCTAAACTAAATATATCTTGAATGTAGCTCTGCACTAAATGCACTGGTATAAAAACTGATACTGATCTTCTTATCTGACTCCCAGTAAGAAAAAAACAAGCCTGTTTCCTAATATGTGAGAGTATTTCTTACAGTTAAATATTGCATATGTTGGTGTGTCATGTCTTGGAGTGAGAGCGTACTGTGTAAAGCCCGTTTTTCTTAGGTAAGTGATTTGTTGTGGGGATAGTGTGTGGTATGAATACCTTGTGGACACATTTGCTCCTGTACAAAGGGACTCAGTATGGTAATAGAAAATCATATTACAAGATATGCAAAACACAGATCAGATGTATGCATGTTGATAGCCTGTGTGCAGGGAGTAGGGTTGGAGTTTGATAGCATTTTATCAAATCAATTAACTAGTTTGTTTCAGCAAAAGTTCATTGTACTGTGGTTTTTCCCAAGAAAAACTCTGATTAGAGGTGACTTTGTTAAACCACGAAAACACGTTGTACATTTGTGATTTGAGAGTGGCGTTAAGAGAGTGGTACAGACACCGCGTACGAACAATGTTCATTTCAACTGGTGAAAACAACAGTGAACGTCACATTAAATTCAGAGACCTGCTGCCTCGGTGCCTTGTGCACTGCTCTTTTTTTTGTTAATACAAATATCAAGGAGAGATAAAACATCTGATTAAAGATCCATGAGCGTTGGAGATCAGCAAATACAGGAAACCAGGAACTGAATATAAATGGGAACTAAACCCAACTTTAGCAGGGGGTCACTGAGCCACCAGCTTGTGATGATGAATGTCAATAAAAATGCAAATAAAGGTTTAGA